CTATAGTCCTAGCTACTGCTGTCATCCCAGCTACTTGGGAGGCTGAGGCAGGAGCATCGCTTGAGCCCGGGAGTTGGAGGTTGCTGTGAGGTAGGGTGACACCATGGCACTCTAGCCCAGGCAACAGAGTGAGACTCTGTGTCAAAAAAAAAAAAAAAAGGAAGGGACTGGGAGAGGCTTTATCATACCTACATAACTCTTCTGGTCCCAAGCCCACCAGATCATGTCCTAAGAAGGCCAATCCGGAGGTGACCATCGCAAAAGACGTAACCAACAGCCCGGCTCTGTGTTGCATAATCTGTGCACAGTTCACCCTGGGCTCTTCCGGAACACTAGTTGTTATCTCAACAGGTCAACAAGAACCCTGTCCCCTCCCTGACCACCATCAGCACTGGGTCACCCCAGATCCTAGTGGCAGAGGCCACTGGGCCACCACAGATACTCGTGGCAGAGGCCACTGGGCCACCAGAGATGCTCGTGGCAGAGGCCACCGACAGCTTGCCACTGCTCTTGACGGCTGTAGCTTCAACACTCTGCTGTCCCTGCCACCGGGCACCAACTCACCGATGGCCACACTCGGCCCAACCCGCCCTTCTGTGGCCACCTGCTCCAAAAGGGGTGGTCCCCAATGAGTCAAAGCCGCCGGCCTGCATCTTGCAAAAGAAACCAGAACACACAGCAACTCCGAAGACTGCAGGGGAGAAAAAAAAACCCTCCAGGCCGGAGTTTCTGCTTCCTGGTCACATGGACTCCAGGGGCACTGTGGTCACCTAAAGGCGGTTGACTTACTTTTTTCTCCGCCGCGGGGCAGGAGGGAGGCAACACCCAGAACTTAAGCAGAAACAGAGACAAAAAGCTAAGTGTCCCCGGCCAAAGGCTACAAGGACCAGAAAGCCCTGCAGCCACCCAGAGAGGCAGGGCACAGGCGGCGGGGCTCAAGTGACTCCCCGTGCTCTTCCCAATTGTCCCCAAGATCGTGGGGACTCAGGACCAGGAAAGAAAGCAACGATCTCCGCACAGTGCCGTTCAGTAAAAAGTCACCGATTGCTTTCGGTGACCCAGAACCTGACTCTGTCCCGTCCGGGCTCTCCGGCCCGATTCGGGGTGGCTGCCACCTGGCTTAAGAAACCCTGATTGCATCCGTGACACACATTGTTTATCAAGCCGCCGCCAGGACGTTGTGACAACCACATCCTGCCGTTTTTCACTGCGACAGCCATTGCCAAAGCTCGTCCTCTCCCCCCCCCCACCTTCCGGTTATCTGTGAAGTTTTCGGTTTCGGTCCAACTCCAGCTGGGGGGTGGGGAGGGGACCAGGGCAGGCCCCGAGCCGAGCAAAGCTCCCCCGCCGGGCCCACGAAGCCACCGCAGGGGGGCGTGGCCGAGCCGGAAATTGTGACACAAAAGTTTTGGCCCTCGGGTCGCAGAGGCAGCTACTTCCCGATCCCCGCGGGTACCCGGGGTGGGGGTGGGGGGTGCGGTCCCCTGGCTGTGGCCCCCACCGGAGGGCCGGGCGGGGCAGGCGCCGCTCCCCGCCCCCCGGCGGCCAAGTCACTCCGGAGCAAAGTCCCCCCGCGGTGTGAGCCCTGCAGGGCAGGGCCGTCGCCTCCACTCGGAACCCCGGGCCCGGGCCTCGCGGGATCGAACCCGGCCCGGACGCCGGGGCCACGCCCGCGCCCCCCGGAGGAAGGGGACCGGGAGCAGGAGCGTCGCCAGCAAGCTCGGGCCGGCGCGGGGGCGCGCGGGGCCTGGGGACAGCCGGGAGGGCCCCGCCCGCGCCCACCTTGACCCGCTTGCCCTGGATGTCCAGCGTCTTCATGGTGAAGTCGACGCCGATCGTGCTGCCCTGGCGCTCCGAGAAGGCGCCGGTCTTGAAGCGCTGCACCACGCACGTCTTGCCCACGCTCGCGTCGCCCACCAGCACCAGCTTGAACAGGAAGTCGTACTGCTCGTCCGGGTCCCCGGGGCCCGGGCCCGGCCCCGCCATGGCCTCGCGGGAGCCGCAGGGCCGGGGCTCCGCACGCTGGGGCCGGCCTGGGCTCACGCAAGCCGCGGGCCCAGCTCCGTCCGCTCCAGCCCGCGGGCCGCTGGGAGACGTGGAGCCGCCGCAACACCTGAACGGGCGGCGCCGCCGACCGCCGGCCCCGGACCCGCCCCGGCCCGGCCCTCCGCTCGGCCCGCGGCCGGCCTGGGGCCCGCTCCCGCCACCGCCCGCCTCCGCCTCGGCACCGCCCCCGGCGCCGCCCGCGGGCCCGCTCCCAGCCTAACTCCGCCTCTGACTCCGCCCCCGGCTCCGACTCCGCCCCCGCGAGCCCGCCCCAGCCCGCAGACTCCGACCCCAGCACCACCCGCGGGCCCGTCCCAGCCCCCGGCTCCGCCCTCGGGCCC